TTTTTTTTTATCCTGAATATATAAAGAGCTCTCAAAACTCAACAATAGGAATAGACAACAATAGTTTTTACAACAAAGAGATATAAAAACTATTTAAGCAGATACTTTACCAAAGAGATAACAGATAAACATATAAAAAGATTCTCAACATCATCATTCATCAGAAAAATACAAATTAATACCACAGTGAGATAACATTTGTTATCTATTAGAATGGCTACTATAAAATATACAGACAATACCAAGTACCGATGAGGATAAAGAGAAAATGGAATGCTTATATATCAGGTAGGAATGAGAAATGGTACAGGTACTTTGAAAATAGCCTAGAGATTTCTTACAAATTTAAGCATGCAGTTACCAGATAACTCCCACAATCCCATGTGTTATAATTTATCCTAGAGGAATGAAAACTTATGTTTGCATGAAAACCTGTATGCAATCACTGAAATCTATATCCATCTTGACTTCTGTTACAAGCTCATTAGGAAGAAGTCGCTTCTCAAGAGAGACACTCCTAAACCATCTGTTAGAAGAGGCGAGAGAGAGCCCCATTTGGGGATCTGAAGACAGGGAACCAGCCTGATACTAAGCCCAGGAGAATGAGATTTCTGAGACTGAAGGTGCAGAGAAGAGGGTTTTCCCTGAATCTAGGCATTCTTCTGAGGGGGTCTGGGAAGGCTCCCCTACCTGGTGAGCAGTGGGCAAGATCTCCTAAGGAAGAACATGAAGAAAAATGCTGTTCAAGCAGGCTGCAGCAATTGGAAGGAAGATTAATCTGATGTTAAAAACATAGGTGACTTTCTTGCACCTTAGTGGCATAGAGCAAATTCCTGCTGGCTTCGTAAGGATTGGTTGGAAGCCCAGGAAATGGGTGAGATGGCCCAGTGTGAACATTTTCTACATACCAGGAGAAAAGAAGAGAATCAAGGGCATTCTACTGATAACATCATCACAGAAACTGTAGAAGACTGAGAAAGAGCAGGCAGTGGGCAGTCTTGATGTCATGGAAGTCATGGCAGTTTCATTAAGGAGTGAGTACTCGCCAGCTTGCTGCAGAGAGTTCCAGTAAGATGATGACTCCAAAATGGCTGCCAGGTGTGGCAACAGGGCCAGAAGGCAGATGGCAATGGATGAGGGTAAGGGGGTGAGGTTATGTGCTCGTCACATCTCTGAACTTTCTGACTCAGCAGTCAGAGGTCACCAAGGCAAGAAACTAATTTCTCCCAGAGAAGAATTCTAGAACAAGCAGTTGTCCAGGCCCAATAAATGACAAGAGGGAGCAGGCTGAACTCAACTCAGTGGTGCTCCATGACTTCCAGAAACAGCCAACTGGAATGTCCGTCTGTTCTAGTGGTAGTGTCACCTCCTGGAATATCGGCCCATTGCTAAAAGAACTAAGAGGAAAGTTTATGCAAAGAAATGACAACTTTCCTGGGACCTGAAGATTTACCCACATTTCCTTCTTTTCTCTCATTTGTTTGGTGGAAGGATGTGGAAATGAAGAAATTGGGCGTTTTGCTACAAATTCAGTATTTGTTCAGAGAGGTCACAACATGCCAGCCACTTTACTCTGCATATTAACATGTATCATCCCATTTTCCAGCAGCACTTGAGACAGATGCACTCGTTTTACATATGAAGAAACAGAGAAGTCAGCTTGCCCAACATCACATAGCTAAGTAAAGTGGTAGAGATGGAATTTGTACCTCCAGGTACTTTGATTCAAACTCCAGTACCCTCTCTACTACAACAGTATAAATAGGAAAAATTATTCAAAGCAGAGAAGTGAAGATCCTCTTCTGAGACCCTGGGCTTGGACAGGGAAGGATCTTGCTCTGTGTGTGTATATCCCAGGTCCTGCTGGAAGGAGCTGAGCTGTAGAGGAACAAAGACCAGGCTGTGTCCCCACCTTCCTCAAAGCTTCCCTCTAATAAAGCCTCCTTCCTGGATGGCCAAGGGCTGATTATCTCCAGGGCATGGTTCTCCTTGCCCTCCCCGCTCCCACCACCGCAAACCCACTGTATGACCATTACAGTGCTTACTTTCTGGGCTGGGCAAGAGCTTTTCCAAAAGGCAAGAAGCAAAGGAGGTAGCGAATGAATGGCATGGGCCTTTCAGAGCCACCCACCCACATCACAGAGACATGAAGGTATCCTGGGTGACAGCCTGTCATGGGCTCTGGGAAACAATCCTCTGAAGATGGGTTTGGTGGAGGGGCCTCTTTCCCCTCAGGACTCCCAGGTCTGAAACTGCCTAGTCTAAGCTGTTGGTCATGTGACATTCTGAGGGGTGTGCCTAGCCTTCTTTGGGAGTTGCCCCACCCTTCCCGTTCTGGAAAAAATACACATAGCCAGATGGTGGGTGCTGTAAGGTCAAGGCCAAGAGGACTCCATGTGACTTTGGAAAACAGCAATGTGTAGAGTGCAAGAAATCAGACAGCCTGGATTCAAAGTCCAACTCTGCCACTTAGCAGTTGTGTAGTTTTGGGAGGCTTATTTCACTTCTCTTGGCATTTGGTTCCTCATCTGTAAAATCAGAATAATAACAATTCCTACTCCATGGGATTATTGTGCTCACAGGAGATAATACACATCAGGTGTTCAGCACAGCATCTGGCACACAGCAAACATTTAGCAAATGCTAGCTATTATTATCATTACCCTTATCATCGTCGTTATGAGGGTTCTCCGCATCCATTTCCCCATGTCCTCCCAATTGCATCAGGCAACAGCTAAACAATTACGGGAAACAATGGCCATTGGGAATCTAACCAAACTCCAGAGGCAGCTGGTTCACCAGCTAGGCTGTAAGTAACTCCTTCTCCAAAGAACCGTCATCTGCCCTACCCCGCAACACACTCACTTGGCTCTTCTCCCCTTTTCTAGGGAAATTCCATGAAAAGGCAGCAATCGCTGAGTTAGCAGAGTCAGAGTTTGCCGGCTACCTTGAGATGCCTGGGATTGGGGACAGAGGACAATATTTCTGTACCATTCCCCACCCCCACTCCCCCTCATCTCTGGACACACAACAAACCTCCCTGGAGACTCTGGACCAGTTTGAGAAACCCCATGAACCCCTTCCACGAATTTCTTTGGCCTTTCTCAATGCCCTGGGCCAGTGGAATATGTTTTTCTTTTCCTATTTAAAGCCTGCTTTTTCTCTAGCCTATGTCTCTGCCCACTACCTGCTAATCAATTTATGCCCATTTATCTAGAAAGCCAAGAAAGGGATCTGATTTAAAAAAAAAAAAAAAAAAGAACAGAAATGGCCTAAGCCCTAACTCTGCACTCCAGGTCTGGCTGCTGGGATTGGCCAGCTTCCTCTGGTGGGCAGACAGCTGGATGTCCTCCTTGTACTTTCCCAAGGGAATCCTACTGAGTTTCCCAGTCCTTCATCTAAGTGGCGCCATGTGACGCACTTGCATCTATAAAGTACACGCATCATTTCTGAGCCAGAGCATTTATGATGTGGACGTGTCTTCATGTTTTCTTTCTAGCTGGAAGTAGATGACAATGGAAATGACAAGGTCACAATATGGGAAGACAGGGAGCTTTGAAAAACCTGTGTAAGAAAGCCTCCCGCCGACGAGAACACCCTCACTGGACTGTTAATGAGTGAGAAATATATTCTGACTGTGTTAAGCCATGGAAATTGTAGGCTCTATTAGGGTAGGAGGTATCCAATAAAGAATACAGCACCATGGCCCCCATGGCCTTCTTCAAAGCTTTTTGTAAAGATGGAGCAAGAAGCAAATGGGAGGACGGATTTGCCCTGGCATTGATAAGAGAGACAAAAAAATTGAGGGGTCCAAAGCCATAAGAGCAGATGTGGTGAATTCTGGGCTGTGGATAGAAGCATAAACGTGTGTGGTGGTGGTGCTGCATGCTAGGCAGTCACTAGTGGGATCATAAGTACTGAGGTCAGCAGATTAAATGCAGGACAAATGAGTGCAGGGTGTAAAAGATAGATCTTTCAGAAGAGGCTAATGGACCACCAATCTTGTTCTCTTGGAAATAGCTAAGTAAGAACTGGGACTTCCTTGTGAACCTGCCTCGTGCTGAGCTGGCAAGTAAGGAGCAAAGAAAGATAAAGAAAAAAGGACAAGCTCCAGAGTGCCTTTCCCTCTGCCCCTTCCCTGCTCTGTGAAGGTTTACTTACTTTTAAGACTCACCCTGTTCCGTACCTCTTCTGCAAAACCGTCCTTAATCTCTCTAGGTGTGGCTAATGGGTTCTCTATCCGTGTTCGTAGCATGGTGTCCCCACCCAATCACAGCTTCCATCACACTGGGTTATAACCAGGTCTTTTTTGTGGGGGGTACTAAGAATTGGACTCAAGACCTTATGCTTGCCAGGCAGGTGCTGTGCCACTGAGGTATATCCCCAGCCCCAATGACCAGGTCTTTAATGACCCCAATGACCCTGCCATGCTCTGTGTACCTTCTGGGCCTAGCAAGAGTACCTGGCACACGTAGGCACTGAGATTGTTGGTGCATAGATGAATGAATGGATGTGTGATTACATGAGCAGAATCCAAAGATGAGGAACCCACACTAAGAACCCCAACTGAGATGTCTGGGTGAATAACCTCCGTTTTCTACCTAGGTCATCAATAAAAGATCCAATGCAGAGTTCTTTAGCTCATACATTTTTATTGCTGAAGATCATGGCTGAGGGACTATGGTGGACACAATGTTGCCCTCCTCCTCAGCCTTGATAACATTCCCCAATGTACCCCTCCACATTCGACACTGCCCAGCCACGAGTCACTTCCAGTCTGCTCTTCGGGGCAGTTTTCTTCCTGAAGGGTTGCCTGCCTGAGCTGGGCTGGGCCAGGCTGATGTTTTCACTTGTTTCTGAGAATCATAGCACCACATGGAAAGTAGGAGAGGAGACTGGGGAGAAACGGGCACCTCAGAGAAAAGCCTCGGGAGCCACAGGTCTTCAGCTGGCAAAGACGCCGGGCACACTGATGGCCTGTAGGATCGGGACCAACTCAGTCCTCCACAACGACTGTTTGGTGGGCCTGCAGTGTTTGCTTCTCCACCACGGTCCATTTTGTGGCTGTGCAATGTTTCTGGAACGGAGAAACTAAAAGACCGAGAAAGTCGGGAACAACCCTTACACTCCCACAACAGCCCCTAGGTATAAGGGGCGGTGTCCCCTGGACTTCTCCTTTCTTCCTGTCCTCCTTGTAGCTCTTGGACGCAAGAACAGTTTGCAACTCTGTGTTGGATTTGCCTGTAGGCCCAGATGAAGATCTGCTTTCCTGAGTATCTCTGACTCGGAAAAGTCCACCCTGCGGACATTTTCCAGGTCCTTCTCCTGGAATATTTTGTAGGATGCTCCCATGAATCCCTCAGAGTTCTTGGGAGGGGTGGGATTAATGCTAACTCTCAAGGGCCCTGAAATTTTTGGAGATATTATTTTAAATACATCTACAGTATATATATATATATATTTCTTAAATATAAAAATAAAATGAAATAAAATCTGCCCCAACAGCTTGTGACCAAACAAGTACACTGAGCCCTAGTCACAGTCATCAGTGCAGACAGACAGGCAGCACAACCCAGCCCAGGACACGCGTGGCACCCACGGCATCTGCAGGAGGTCTGAGTGAGGGCACAGACGCCAATGGGATGCCTTCCCACTGGGGACATCAGGCACTGGGAAGCGCCAGCTCTGACAAGACCCATTTTCTGTCTCAGGACAGCAATGGTGTCACCCAAGCTCGCTCTGGCCTAGTCTCCAAGTCAGGGTCAGAGGAGCAGAAACTCCTGATGTCACCCGCCAGACCCTTCTCTGGGCTCTGCTTTGGCTTCACCTCCTTCATTCATCTATGGACTCCCCTGTAGGAACATCCATGGTGCCCAAGCTCTTATCTCCGGAAGATTTCCAGCCTGGGGCTCTGACAATAGTTGTGAGCTCTCTTAGTTTCTGAAGAACTTCAGAGAACAGTCTCTCTCTTTCTCTCTCTCTCTTACACACACACACACACACACACACACACACACACACACACGCGGAAGCAGCAGATAATGGAGGTGGCAGTGATGAAGGTGCCTGGTGACTGTAAGCCCCGATGTTGCAAATGGCCCAGGGCCTTCAGCCAGAGTCTTCGTAGCAGTCAGTGCTGTGAGCGAGAGCTGGTTAGGATTTCCGGAAGCGCACTTCACTCTGAGGAGCAGATAGAGAGAACAGGCTGAGGGTGGGCTGGGTGGGTAGAGAGCACAGAAGTCAAAGGTGGGATCAGGAAGCAGTCTTCAGCTGAGCTGTCACCTGGCACTGACTGAGAAGAAGGGAGCAGAGGGAAGCCTGAAGCACCCCGAGTCCCATTGTGCTGAGCTCTGGAGCAGCCTTCCCAGCCCTCTGTTCTACCCTCTTCCCTTCTATTGTGCCCTCTGCTCTGACTGGGCATAGCATTCCCAGCTCCAAAGCTGCAGTTAGGGGCCCAGGCAAGGTTAGAGCTGAGCTGGGTCAGTAGAGTCAAGGGTAGATCCCCAACTTCCTGCATGGAAGGCGGCCTCTAACTCACTCCTATGGCCACTTCAGTGGCCCATGTGAACCTACAGCTCTGTCATCACTGGAAGAGAGTGGTATTAGAGCTGGCACTGACCCTAAGTCCACCCCTTCACAACTCCCTAGGCTCTGTTCTGAGGGAAGAAAAGGAGGGAAGGAAAGACAGCTCAGGCTGGCCCCAGACTTGACATATAACCCTGCTTTGAGCACCTCCGAATCCAAAGGGCTGGCAGGACCTGTGCCTGCATCCTGAAAAGCCTGGGCTTCCTTCAGGCTCCCACCTTTGAGAGTTCTCAGAGTGCCTGGTGCAGTGTCTCTGAGCGGGGGTCTCACCTCCATCTTGCTGTAGATCCAGGGAAGGACTTCTGACACTTTGGTGTACACACCAGGTTTGTTTCTCTGGCCACAGCCTGTGCCCCAGCTGGTGACGCCCGCCAGGTACCAGCGGTTGTTCTGCTCACAGACAAGAGGCCCCCCGCTGTCTCCCTACAAGGGACAGGCAGAGTATCAGCCAGGTTGGGGAGCAGTCTTGATCAGGAAACGGTGGCCTGATTCCCACATCAATCTCAACATCCATCCTCTCCTTGTCCTCAGGGTCCTGCAACCTCACCTGGCAGGAGTCTCTGCCTCCTCGAAGGTCCCCAGCACACATCATCCTGGGAGTGAGGTAGTTGTCATAGACCAAGTAGTCATTACATTTGTGGAAGTCAATGAGGTTGACCTGCACCTCCCGGAGGAAGGGTGATGTCTTCTCTTCAGCGACATAAGGGAAACAAAACAGGAAACCAGTGAGACTGCACGGCTCTATGGCCTTCTGTGTGCACAACTCAGGACCCAGAGTCTCAGTCTTCTGTAAGTGGAGGGCACCATAGCTGTTTCTGGACCTGGCCCAAGGAGGACCTTTGTGGCACGACACACATGTGGATATACACCTTCCTATGAGACCTAACTCACTGCCCAAACACACACACACTTGAGTGTTGTGCACAAACTCACAAGTCTATTAGGCTACCTGATGTGTTGAAAATTTTGTCAACATTCAAGGGACTATAAGATAAATCCTTTCATTTGTTTCTGGAATCTATGTACCCTAAAGAGAGCAGATCTTAGCCAGGCATGGCAGCACATGTTTGTAATCCCAGCACTTCAGGAGGCTGAGGTAGGAGGGTCACAAGTTTGAGCCCAACCTGGGCAATTTAGCTACTTAGTGAGGACTTGCCTCAAAATAATGAATAAAAAAAGGTTGGGGATATAGTTCAGCATGAAAGCACCGGTTTGATGCCTAGTACCACTGCCACAAACAAAACAAAACAAAACAAAACAAAACAAAACAAAACAAAACCAGGGAAGTCTTTCAGATCCATTTACAGGTGGCGCCACCTAGGGCTGTAGAAGTGACAGTCACACAGCCAGTCAGCAATGGAGGCTGCCTAGGGAAAAGTGGCCCCAGGCTGCGGAGCTTGCCTGAAACTAACAACCAGGCCGGCCAGGCCATGGTGTCCTCCTGCAGAACATGAACAGTCTTACAGAACTGACATCAGACAAGGCAATCTACGTCTGAGATGAAGTGAGGCAAAACAAGATCCCTTCCTCCTGTTTAAGGACAGATGAAGACAAGGTCACTGTGCAAATTTCAAAAATACCCAACATCCTCGTTCCCAGGACAGTTCAGAAACTGCTGATTCTCTACCATTTCAGCTTAGGTTTTCCCTTCCTTGTGGTTGAGATCATTAAATTTCCTAATCATAGCGTTACCTCTGCTTCCTGACAGTATCCAATCTAGAGAAAAGCCTCACCTATTTGAACCCTCCCCAAGCCACCCATATCCTATGATTAGCCCTTTCCAACACTGTCTTGTTGAGATGTGCCATGTGTCTCCACCATGTGTTTGCTCCCTCACTGCCGTCAGCAAAGAACTCGTTCAACTACACGAGTTTCCTCATGGTCTTGCCTGGAGTCCACTATGACACTGACTGTGTTGACATCTGGGCAGGTGTCTGTATACACACATTCATACTCAGACCCATGAATCTCTAGACCCAAATTCTCATCTAGATGTAGAAAGCCTTCATCTATATACCCAGTCATGGCTTCCTCACATACACACATGTCTACAGGCCCATACACGCACATATACAAACTGCTTAGCATCCGCGCCCCTTACCATCTGTTTCCTTGGTCTTGCCAAAGCCTGTGATCCAACAGGTCTCGTTGATGCTAAAGGTCTGTCCGTTCATGGGGAGGCAGACAGGGTGGATATGCTCTGCAACAAGACCTCAAAGCATTAGGGAAGGAACAAGGCTGGAGATTTTGGTGGGGGTGAGGGGCAGGAGTTCTAGTGTTCTAAGATCCTCATCCTTGCTTTCTCCCAGAGTGACTCTGAATCTTCCTGGACCTTGGACTGACCAGGCAAGAAACTAATCACTTTTTTGGAACCTACCAGTTGTTGGGTGCTGCTAAACTCCTCAAAGCCATTCTGATTTCAGTGGTCACCACATAAGCAGATGCACGGTCTTGGAAACTTTCTTATGCCAAAATGATCCTGAGCAGCTGGAGGTTTCTCCCCACCTATAGTCACTGCACTGCCCAAGCCTCTTCCATGCCTTTCTCTCAGAGTAAAGGACAGCAGCAAGCTCAGGCCAAGATGTTAGGGCCATGGCATGTCACAGAGTATAGACTGATCTGGGAGGACACTAGCTGACTGGCCAGAGGCCGTGGCTCTCTTTCCAAATATTCATCTAGCATAGAGTGAGAACGCTCTCTAAGCAGGAAAAGCACATTCTTGGAGTCACAGATCACAAAGCCATGCTAACTTGCTCCCACACTGAGCAGTATTTCTAAGGTGCTGGTGAGCAGTGCTTCATAGGCTCCCTCTGTAGCCTACTGCCCCTGGATGGACTAGGGCACTGACCACTGTGACCCACTTGCAAGAAGAGCTATTACTAGCTAGAATTTTCCAGTGTTCTCAGACATTTGTTATGTTTACCTGCAGCATCCTAGAATAGTGCCTGACACATAGTAAGTGCTCAATGAACATGTAAAGACAGAGAAAGGAAAGAAGGAAAGAAGGGAAAAAAGGAGGGAGGAAAGAATGAATGAATAGTAAATTCTTTTCTTACAAATTAGGCTTTAAATGTTGTCTACCACATTTTGTCTGCTAAAGAGTAAAAGAGAAAAGAAAGAAGGGGAAATTATGTATGTATGTATATACAGGATAGCTAACATAGTTATACTACTGACTTCTATCGCTTTACTGAAAGGAACAGTTAATGACTCCTTATTTGGTCAATCTTGCATGCCTCTGTTTGCCTGAGAAACCATTTTGAAGATATCAATATGTAATACAACAATCATTGTTAATTTCCTACCACTTTGTCTGTAATTCAGTGTTGTTTGTATTGTTCTTATGCTATTTTGTATATCGATGTCTGTTTGTTAATATGTTTTCCTTCTTTTATTTTTAAAATAAATTTTAAAAAAGAGTAAATACACAAACAAATGAAGGGATAACACAAATTATTAACAAAAATATAAAACGTTCTTTTCTATGCTCCCTTTTGAGGTATAAAAATCTTTAAACTGTGTAACAATGTTATGTGTCCCATTCTTTTAATATTCAACTTGTTTTTATATAAGAATTAAATTTATCAATAAGTTTTCACAAATTTTCTCAGAAAGTACTGTGACCCCAACATGCTTGCCCTGCCGCACCAATTTGAGAAAAAGCTGCCCTAAATTGTAAAACAAAAATGAGGGCACATGGTCTGATCACAGAATTACACAAACCTGAGGTGTGATTTTCAGACTGAGGGTCTGCTTCCTGTTCAGAGCCTGGGGAGGGACTGCCACCATCTGAAAAGCCTATGAGATAGTATAATAGCTTTCACGGCTTTAGAAATTACTGAATTTAGCCAGCTGTGGTGGCACACGCCTGTAATCCCAGCACTTGGGGAGCTGAGGTAGGAGAATCACTGTGAGTTCAAAACCAGCTTGGGCTACATAGTGAGTCCAAGGCCAGCTTGAACTGCAGAGCGAGACCTTGTCTCAAAAAAAAACAAAACAAAACAAAACAAAAAAACCAGTCCATGAAATTACTTAATTTGTTTCATAGTTCCAGTAACATTAAGAGGGGTGTGTGAGAGGTAAGACCTAGATGTTTAGTCAAATGGAATCTGGGTTTTATAGGTTGAAGGCCTGTCTGGTGCTGCAGACTGTGTGTGTGTGTGTGTGTG